GTCTATTCGTAGATCCATAGGGCCTGGCTAGTTTGCAATAAACCATCACCAACAACCGCCTCATGATCCACCTCCCTGTGGACTCGTTAGGTAACTTATAGGCGATACCCTCCATCGTGACTTACATGCCGTCACTGTCATAGACTTGCAGCTATTGAGTAGTGTCTTCGTAGGTGACGTTGACATTTCGACTGTGACGAACGGTGATGCTCACTGCATGTCAACAGAATGGGCGCGGGACAACGATTTGTACTTGAAATAATTCATGTACCGCATCCACCGCACTCAATTTTGTGACGAAATGCAGCGTCAAGACGGCTGGATGTGGGCGCGAACCCAGTGGCCGACTAAACTGAACAGTCAGCCTTCGCGTGCTATACATATTTACAGTGCTGACTACAGTTTCTGGCTGCATCTGGAAAAAGCAGCTTACGCCTGATCCCCTGCACGGTCATCTGGACTTTGTCTTGTCACCGTTCTCAAGCGGGGTGAAGGTTTAGAATGGGGTGGAGATGGTGGCCACTTTACTTTCATTATACCTGGCCGTAGTCACCGTCCCTGCTCTCGGGCAAATGGTGGACCTCACCGATTGCGGTGGTCGAACTAACACTGACTACGAGAACTGAATATCCCGTTGGTTGACAGCCCAGGACACAGAGCGTCATGATAGACTCAAGCGCGTTGGGTTTATTTTTATGAGGGATACGCTGATTCGCCATGCGCATGGACTCGACATACTGCTTTTATGGAGGCTAGTGATGGGATTATTTGTAGGCTGAAGTGTTGAGTTAAACGATTCATCATGACCAGTGCTCCTTCCCTGTCCGAAACAAGCTTAATTGCACTATCCTTCCAAGATGGTTTTATTTCATTATATCGATCTAAGAATGACGTTTATCGATAAGATAAGAGGAGGGGAAAATGTCCTGTCTAGTTGGATGGTTTACTTCATAAGTGTAGCGTTTTTGTTAACAAACAAAGCCCTTGGCTGTGCAGGGAGGTCTATTGCCTGGATTTCAATGCCATTAGTCGATCCCAATTACTGGATCTAAGGGGTCTACATCACCAAGGTCCAGGCCGGCTGAGACCGGGACTGCTTCTAGTGAACTGTTTATAGTATTTGTACAAGAAACTGGAAGACGGCATGGTTCCGTCGTGGGTTTCGGTGGGTGCAAGAAGATTCTTCATCTCGCCTTGATTCAAATATCCTAAAAATTAGCCTGGTGTTTTTTGTTTCTCACAGTTTCTGATGCAGTTGCCCTTAACACCTGACAATTATTGCAAGAGAGAGAGAGAGGCAGTGCACGAGAAGAATTGGACGAGATCGCTGAGACAAGAGTCGACCTTTCGGAATACTTCGCATTTTCTATTGTACCGGAGGCAGTACAGTTAAAGCGGACAATTCCTATTTGCTCTCGGTCAGCGCATGTGATGATGCAGTGTTCAACTATTGCGGGTTTAGTGGAGTAGAAGTATCGTTCTGGCAAGATGGCAGTCTTATTTTCTCGACCTGATGCATGCCTGGTGGATTAATTCTTAAAGTATTCATTATTCAGAATGCACTCCGCCGTAGGGATACCACTGGGGTAGGATAGGCAGTTATTTGCCGCAAACGTTTATTGGAAAACAACTATATAGAGCAATAATTGAAAGAAGAATGAGGTACTGTAGATTGTCTAAAAAAAGGGAATGATATAAAGTGTATGTACAAGTAGGTGATTATTAGTTAGCCATAAAAGGTAAAATAAAATATATGAATGAGCAAAAAGATGGAAAGTAGACAGGGTGTCGCGTCAGTGGGTCTGACGCACCATTTGAGTCAATTATTTCCGCGTTCCTTACAAAAGTTCAAACTGGTCGATTAAAACCAGAACTGGCCCGTCCGTTACAGAGCCTTACGACGCAAAACAAGTACAGAAATGGTCGGACACGGATGGTGAACACATGCTGGGGGACGTCGAGTGTAGGGTACTCTGCAAAGTGCCGATTTCTGGTTCTATCAACTGTCCCTGTAGAAACCGTATCGATCATTGAGATGTGAAGATTCGATTTCGCCTTGCCTGTTGAATGTGTAGTAGAGTGGCAATCTCTCTTGTGATCTTTTCAGCGCCGGAATTTGTGTTGATTTTGGTCCTTTGCCCTCTCTGCTTAATGTGGTGGAGACATTCCCACCGGTATTAAGTTATATCACCCTCTCTCTTACCTCACTGCATCACTTAACTCAGGTCAATATGAACGACAAATTTGGTGAAATTATGGTCCGCAGTTTCCGCGACAGATCCTGTGAATTGCCCGGACTTTCGGCCTGTGGATCTATAGATGACCAAAAACAGCGGTAAGCCATACTCTTTATTGTGAATTTGAGCGTAGCTGGTCGCCTAGTTCTCTTGTTTTGGTAGGGATGAGTTGTATGACCGCCTTACCATGACACGGCAACAGGAATGCCCTGCCCACTTAAATTAAGGGGCAATGTGAAACGTTTCAGGAAGGCCAAATATTCTCATGTCCAAACCCCATCAATAACTTTAACATAAAATTAAACTATAACCCTAATCATAAGCCTAGTGCTACTCTAAACCTAAACTCGTCAGTTAACACGAACCCTAGCCTTAACGTTGTCCTCAACCTAACTACAAATCTGACCTTGACCCCAAGCTTACGCCTAACCCTGGACGTAATCCCGACCCTCATCTTAATCCTAAATCTAATCTCCCCGGAATTTAGCGCAAAGTCACCTGCATTGTTGGCGGTTTCCCCTCCTGTGTCCTGTTTAGACAACCCCACTGTTCATCCTTACCCTTGGTTTGTGTTATAACCTTGTGTGTTCCTGTGTCAACACCGGCTATGTCCCCCAGTTACGTGTTAGGACGAGAAGGCAGAACAGGATAGCAGATAGTACCTTACTATCACTAGTTCTGCTTGTACACCAGCGTTGTCTTCTGTGTGCCCGGCAGCTTGGTCTCCTGTGTCCGTCAGCAGCGTATGTTCTGTCGTCAGTCTCAC